CCGATAGATATTACCGACTTATTGTAGACCCGGCATTAAAATATTGTTTATATGAAAGATGAAATTTATAAAATAGAAAGGTTCTGGCATTTTATTCATACATTTATTTGTAACATATAATCTTTTTTGAATATCTTTTTAATTAATATTTCATATGTATATATATATTATATATATATTGTATATATATTGTATATATACATACAAATTTTATACATATATTTTATGTACATATAAATATATGTACACATGAATAATATGTGCATAAAATATATGTATAAACTTTGTATACATATACAGTGAGAGCAAAAAGTATTCGTACAAGGAAATTTTTTATTAAAAAAATCTTATTTGTAGAAAATAAACATTAATTAGCAATTTTTATACAATGAATACATTCTGTTCTTACATTAACAAATGAGCTTCGCATATATTTTTGATTTTAGAAGCTAAATTTCTCAACTGTACGAATACTTTTTGAGCATCCAAACAGTATTTGAGCATCCAAACAATATTTAATTTTCGCTTATTTTTCAGATGATATATTTTTTATCATTAATACACATCTTTTTGATATATATAATTTTAAGAAACATACAGTCTATTTTATTCTTTATGAATAAATTATTAATTACTCAACAAGAAATGATCAATTAAACATCGAATCGACATCAAATTGATGTTGAAATCATCGATATTGATTCGATATCAGTTCGATGATTCATTTCTCGTTGGATAATATTTACTTTTTAAAAATAAAGTTTTTCTAAAAAACATTTTCTCTATATGAATACTTTTTGCATTCACTGTATGTATAAAATTTGAATAATATACGAATAACATAGATATGTATAAAATTTGAAAATATGTATAAAATATTTCATTACTCGTTTTTTTTTACGATAACATCAAACTTCCTGTTCCAGTTAACATTCTCATCGCTCGTGCGTATCATTTGTCTTTGTTTAACATTTGATAAACAACAAAAGTGAAATGATTCCACGAGCGTGTGAGCATTAAATGAAATGTAGCCTAGGTAACAAAACTGAATGCTATCAAATGAGATTTCATGCCAATTTTAAATACACGGCATACTTCCTCCAATTTATGAGCGGTCATAACACGTACAAGTATAATATAATTCAGCAGCAAAAATGACCGGCATCAATTAACGAATCCGACTTCCTGCTGGCATCCGCGGTAAATGGGAACAGAAATTATAACGAAAGAATTGATAAGACATAAAACTACATCGTCTGCAACAATTGTAAAAGTCTGTATATTATCAATGCACATATCGAGGAAGATCTCGAATTCCTCAAAAATCTCATTATAAACAGGGATGTCATATCTGATTGGACACCTTACTTCCTCCCATAATTTCGCAATTTTTCGTACCGAATTCAACACGTTGTACTTATTCACGCTAGGTCTACCTATGTTATTTCGTACAACTATGAAATCCAACAATTCATAAATAAAACAGAAATAAGTTTCCTCATTAACAATTTAATTCGTACATGTGAGATCATCACGCGACTAGACAATTACAAGACAAAGATAGATTAGAGAGAAATCATTACAAGATAACTTTCAATATATCCTATTTATATTAGGTGTGGGAAAAAGTTCGTGGTGTTTTTTTAATGCCATCTAATGGGAAAAACGCCACGAACTTTTTTCCATACCTAATACATCCAAGATTCTGAATTAACAATCATTATAAACACATGAGAATTGTGGACAGCGCCATACGAAGGCACGATTCCCATTCATCTAATCCCATTCTATCATTCGATCATTTGACAACAACGAACCAATGAAATATTTCATCGTGGTATACATACGTGGGTGTACGATAAAATAATCATATAGCAACAATTAATGATGCAACATTAAAAAAAAATTGATGTTTTAGATTATGATTATTACAACAAACTTGCAATTAATATAGAACCAGCTTAAATCATGCCAAACAAATATGTCTTCCAGTTGATTATATGACAATTGACAGTAGCTAAAAATTGATAGCCAATAGTCATAATAATATGAAATTCCAGTGCGCATGTACAAAAAAATCAGACCAACAATATGGCGGTGTTGTTTGCTGATCGCATCACGGCGATCACGCTGGTCATGTATTCACAGTTTATTCTTGTCTAAGAAGTCATAATCAGTCGTAAACGTAATCAGTAATGACGTCTAAGGACTCTAGGATGACGCGTGGCCGTGGCAACGCGACGAACAAGCCATCGACGAAACGGTGAACGGTGCGATAAAGTATATGAGATTGATGTCGATCGACGCTGCCGTCGTGAACTTCATTCCGGCCAATCCCTCCTATTCAACCGAATGTCAAACGTTAGCGTCTCCATATACAAACGTTTAGTCTCGTGAATAAATTATGAGCGTGGACAGCGAGAACAAGTCGAGCGAGTCACGAACGATCGCGCCGTACAACGCAGAAAACGGCATTGACGATGGTGTCGAGGGTGGACCGGTGACTCCGGAAATGGTGCTCCGATTGCCCACTATCACGGACAGTATGTTCCTACTTGAAATTTAAATACCGCTATTTTCTTCTTGTACTCTAATGGATTTATGATCCACTTCAGTGGCTCAAATTACCACTGTCTCAGTATAGTTGCTTTCCATTTAGGAAACAGTCAACACAAATGAATTGAAATGGATTGTTGAAGAATGACGTTTGTGTCGATTTTTTTTTATTTTATATAAAAGAAGAACAGCCTGTATTTACTCTTTTAATTCTTAACACAACAATGATTTTCTAGTGTTTTATCACATATAATTGATCTTCATGTTCTGGGTTTATAATTTTCATCACTAACAAATATACAAGAATTATTAAATGATTCGTACATAATTTTACATAAATAATTCTTACATAATAAAATGATTCTTTATATTCTTTAAAAAGTATTTATAAGAGTTGTATATAAACTAATTACTTGATAATTACTAATTACTTCTAATTTTTTTAAAGTGTACAGGACACGAATATGACTCAATTGTATTAAGGATTAATATTTAGGTATTGCTTGTCAAATCACTTTCATGCATAGATAACAATATGTTTACAGAATATCTCTGTTCTCCTGAGGCCAATATTTATGACATAGACTTCACGAGATTCCAAATTAGGGATCTAGAAACTGGTGCTGTACTATTTGAAATAACAAAACCTCCTGCTAGTGGTGCGTAACATATTTTAGATACTATATCTTTTCTATAACTAATTTTAACATTTTAAAATTTCTATTTAATAAATAGTGAAGAATCTAAAGCTTGAATAAATGTATAATAATGCTCTTGCATTGTGATAAATGTAATGTATGTTAATATTAAATATCTTGCGATATCACATTATTTAATGTTATATAATGCAAAATTGTGTAATAAAAGTTTAATGCAGATTATGGCAAAACAAAGTATTAGTTATAGATTTAAATATAAATCGAGCTTTAAATATCAATTGCGCTCATCTATAGTATTTTTAATTTTTTATATATTTACCAGAATGCGATGTTCATCAAGAACCGGAACCAGATTGCGAAGAACTCGGATCTGAAGATACAAACACGGGACGCTTTGTGCGATATCAATTTACACCACAATTTCTGAAATTAAAGACGGTCGGAGCGACAATCGAATTTCTAGTAGGGCCTAAACCTATTAATAATTTTCGGATGATAGAACGGCACTTTTTCCGAGACAGATTACTGAAAACCTTCGATTTTCAATTTGGATTTTGCATACCAAACAGCAAAAACACATGCGAACACATCTACGAGTTTCCAACGTTGCCTGCGGATCTAGGTGAGTCGCTAAAAGGAATTTTAATAAACTCGGCATATACCTGAAATTGTACGGCAAAAAATTCTAAACAACGTGCATGTCTTTTCAGTTTCCGAAATGATCGCGAATCCATTCGAGACGCGATCCGATTCTTTTTATTTCGTCGACAATCAGCTTGTGATGCACAATAAGGCCGACTACGCTTACAACGGTGGGCATACAACGCACGATGTATTGTAATGTGCAGTTTGTTGATTAGTATTATTGCAAGTGATATATATATAGGATTACAAAAATATATCACAGTTACATGTTACAGCGATGATGATGATGATGATCGATTTGCACATTTGGCTAACGTTTGACATTTCATGTTTTGGCATAAAACGAGCTTAAAAATTTGCAGATCAGCAAATGATCTTTGAACACGCGATTACTGTTGCAACGGAAATGCTTTAATCTGAAGCTACATTTGATTTGTCGACAAATTAAATAGTTCCTATTTTTCTTTAGTATAAAAGAACAGTAATTTATTTATAAATTATTAACGAATCAAAGTGATACTTAATTTTATAGACTGTTTTAATGGCATCTATCCTTACGCGATGCATTCGCTAGCGGCGAATATCGTTACTCAAGCACATGTAGCACATGTAGCACACGTGGCCTCTTGAGTGGAATTACATTTAGTTCCATGAGCTTTCTAATCTCTATTCACAGTTTTCACGATAACATGTGTGATGAAGGGCAAACTGAATTAGGAGTTGCATTTTTTCGACGCTCAACGGCGCTTTTCTGTCGTAATCACATAACTTACAGTTTCTTTCCACTTTTACACGATTATTATTTAAATACTTTTATTTAAATACTTTTCACATTGTTCTGTAATATTGTGGAATTCATCCAAAATACACGTATATATTTACAAAGGATATATGTTTGACTTTTTTTTATACATATTCACAATTATCACAAGGCCGAGTAATTTATAAAAGTTGTTAAAAGATCAACGAATTCACTAGGCTTATCTGCGTGAACCCAGTGACTTGCTCCATCAATATAATGAAATTCTGCCATGGTAAATAGTTGTTTGATTGCATCGTGATCTTTCGCTTGAATATAATCACTATTAGCACCACCTATGAATAACGTAGGGCCATCATAGATCTTTGAGCCTATATTAGGAAATACAGCTATCTGAGTCGAGAATGCCTGCTCCAGCACTGGCAAATTAACTCGCCATTTGTATTTTCCCGCGTCTGCTTCCACCAAATTCGTCAGTATAAACTACATAACAAACATAATACAAACATGACTCTTATGCTCATGTCTACTAGTGATTTAATTTTAATCTTAGTTCAACTCTCTCTATCTTTTTAATGAGAATTAGAAGATTTAAAAAAGAGAAGAGTATAAGTTGAATTAAGATTAAAGCTAATTTACATTGGAAGAAACAGGTATTATGCTGAAAGTAAAATAACCAGAAGAAATGTTACCTGACGCATCGAACTAGATTTAATAGATTTGGATAGTTGTTGATCCACTGTTTTGCGTGCCTTTGATAGGGTGAGACTTCCATCCACCATCACCAAACGCATAGCTTCGAAGATCCTTTCCATCTGCATAAGATTAGGGCTAGTTCTCACAGGAGACACATCAACGACCACCAATTTCTTAACGTGGTGTGGAAAATTCAATGCAGTATACATAACAGCCGAACCACCCATACTGTGACCAACTAGGACGGCTTTCTCAAAGCTTAGGTCTTTCAAAAGTTGAATCATATCCCCTGCCATGTCCTTGTACGACATGTTTGATGAATGTGGAGAATCACCGTGATTTCTAGCATCCACTGCTATGACCTACGCATTTATTTTCTTAAGCGCAACACAAAATTATTTTCATACTACGATCTAAGAAACAAAATGCATAGTCTATGTTAAGAGATATTAAAAAACTTATTGTAATTCAAATTTAATCTCGTAGATTGTCAGAAAGCACTAATAATAACCTTGCGCTTAGTCTTTTGATGGATCGCCTTTGACAACGAATTCCAATTGTTTTTCGAGCCAAAGAGACCATGCATTATAATAATAGGTTCTTTCACATCTTGCTCATGTTCCTTCACCGACTCATACGAAGTATAAGCGAGTTTTACTGGTACAGTTCTTGAAGAAAATATTTAGGTTAGAAACAGGTGCTACAAATTAATCCACATCCCACTGCATGAATACTCACAATAAAAGATTGTTACGCAAACATTGGCGATAGGAGATATGCAGACTTTTAATCGAGCGATGCAAGGTGGGTTTTATCCACGGAAGGAACACTGATAAATTTCGGCCTATCATTATTAATCAGATTACAAATACACCCGTATCTTCTGTTCTTTATCTAATAATCACAGAGGCCTCTGATAGCGCATGATTGCTATTTATAAATTCTTGTTATCGAAAACCATCCAAAACTGACTTAGCACGCCTCGATGTTTATAATATAATTCTCTTTATCCTTCCCTAATTTACAGCATACATTTCAGTTCAGTAATTCAGACATGGATTTCATGAACCAGAATGAATCAAGGCGAATATACATTAAGCGTTACTGCATCAATTTATGGATTTGTAATTTCATCCAAATTGGTGCTTCGAGACAATTACTTTGCAATACTTTTATCATAATTTAAAGATAGAAGGCTGGTCAAAGTCTCGCTACAAATACTTTGAAGCATTTGATGGACCAATTAGAAGAAAGAATTTTACAACTGACCAATTAAAAAACACTTTAAAGCATTTGCAGCATCGCGTTGACCGTAACCATAAAATTTTACGTTTGTCACATTGAAGATCGTCGTTCTTAAATTTTTAGAAAATGAATCTGAGATCAAAACAAATTTTCATTTGTTTTGATCTCAGATTCATTTTCCTGTTTAGCGATTCTAAAATAATAATTAAAAATAACATTAAAATTCACAAATAATAATTAACTTGATATACTTCTCTTTTCGAAAGATTCATAACGATATCGATATCTCGGGCAGACAAAATATTTTG